TTTCCAACATCAATTTGAAGCGAACAGTAAAAGTGGTTGCAATCTACATTCAGAGCCTTTCAATGAACGAGGAAAAGAAAAAGTCTGACAACTGCTCTTTAGATGTCAATGACTTTGTGAATGCTCGACTTGAAGAAATTTCAACGTTTTGCGTTTCTACAAAAAAGTGCAATCTTTTCTTGCAAGGAGTGCTTTATTCACTACTATTTGCTGCTATTTTTATATGCATTCAATCACAAGGAAGCGATTAATAGAAACAGAAAAGTTCTAACTGCTGTAAAGCATGAGTCAGTAGTTTGTTGTGCTTTCCGACGTTCGCGCGTTGGCGCGCCTGGCAAGAGATTTTCGAGCAAATGCTCAATCACGGATTGTGAATGGATAGTGTAACTGGAGAAAGGTGAACTTTTCGTCACCCAGAAAGTTCCTGCTTCTATTTACTGCTTTTTTCCAAGTTGTGGGGGCAAGAATGTGATTTACTTGGCAATTCCACTCGAGACAATGAGACGCATATGTCGGCATGCTAACAGAATTAGCATTATGCAGAGGAAATGTCGAGATTGCGTGTCGCGGCGGCTTTTGCCTGAAGCTGAACAGCTGATTGTCTGCAATTACGACTTAGGCCGCTCTTCTGTGATAAATCGGGAATCACTAATCGTGCTCAGCTCTCACTTCCTCTTTCTATCTCTCTCTATCTCGCAATCGGCATCTGTACTTTTATGCATGAGAGGAAACTATGTATAGCATGTGGTTATCTTTCGCTCTCAACTACGTCAGCTTCGATCTTTAGATGTGCTTTTTTCAATGAAAATGTTGAGCGCTAAATCGCAAATCAGTTCTCTCGGTGTGCGACTACAGCGAAGTGCTCTTCATCGTTGATATTTTGGAATGAAAACATTGGCAAGACGCGATATTCACTTGAACAGATATTTTGCATCAGTTCGCAAATCGTACAATTTCAAAGAGCAGCTCCAGCCCCTTCCCCTTTCATTCTGAAATTTCAGACTGTAATCCCGTAGTCACCATCTCTGTTCTTCTGGAAGCGCAAAGCGGCAGAGGCTTTATTTCCCAGAAGCCTAAGCTAACTGAATTGCTCTGCACTCTGTTTTAAAGTAAATATTGAATGATGAAACTCATTGCTACCATACGGCTTAAGATTTCATTGTCATAGGATGTAATGTTCAATTACGAGAGAAAGCAAAGCACCCAACTTCAAGCAAAGTTCCAAAAAGTGACTTTTGGGAGAATGATTGCAAAAAAACTTGAAGAATCTTCTAGCATTCAGCGCCTACAGTTGGTTTTTAGAAAATTATTCTGGATGCAGAGACAATAGAAACAAATTTTTTCGCTTTTCTCCCATTGGCCATATTTTTAGTCGTTAACTAGGGTTTCGATAACCTTTTTAGACACTGAAGTTTCCTTATCTCTCATGATGAGATGAAAAGATTATTCCTGCTCTCTTGTATCCCTTCACTTTCACTCTGCCAAACAACTACCCAATATCCGAGTGTACGCTTCTTTCACGTCTAAAACTCCCTTGAAGCGTTGCTGAAACTTAGCTCATTGCTGTAACCAAAGTTGGAAATTGTACTTAAAATGATAAATCGCGCAAAACCCACAAACAGCATGACATATGTTTCAGTGCCAAAGTGCTACTGGCGATTTTTTGGCTTGTGCCACCATATACTTTTATATCTCTCTTATGTTTAGGAGAAGGAAGAAGTGGAAATGGAAAATACATTTTTGGAAAAACTCAGATTTTATAATATTTCGCATTTCATCCTGTAAAGGCCTTCCTAACCGTGAATTGCACTGAATGAATTCATACGGATGAAGAATGTACTGATTCGTATTAGTTTGTTCATTTGTTCGTGAAAATTCACTTCTCAAAGCTTTTTCTTATTTATTGAGAAGTGCGCAGATTCACCCCTTCTTCTTACTCCTCAAAAGCCCTCCCCTCTCTCAAAGACCTCCTTTGGGATCACAGCAGACGGCCAAAAATTACGATGAGATTAGATGTCCTCTATGCTCAGTCCGTATTAGGCAAATATTTGTATTTCGAGTATCTAAAAGGACTATAGCACTTTTTGAATCAAGCCTATTGAAAAAAGAAGGTTTTTATTACGAATTTGACGTGAAGACAAACACTATTTTTTTTCTTGACTTTTTTCCAATTTCTGGGAATGCGCTGCCACTCATTCTGTAGATCTTTTGACAACTGTAGCAAGATTGAAGCGAGAAAACCCGAGGAACCCGGGGAATTATTACCAAGAACTTTAAAGCAAGTAAATAGCAGTGTCCATTTACAAACGATTTCTCCTAGGTCTCAAAAGAAGTCGGATTTTCATGGCAACCTCAGCATCAATGCTGTGATTCTAAATGATGCATAATTCCCGATACTTCCAATGATTCAGCAGGTGACAGAAAGTAGAAAGGTAGGTGACAGAAACTGCGTTTGAAAAAGTTGAATAGGTAAACGGCATGTCATCTCAACTCGACAAATGGGAATAATATGACACCTTCTTTCCATGCTTTTCCATCCAACTCAGTCTAAAAGGGTATAAGAGCTAGTACAGAGGGTACAGATAGAGTAGCTGGCTAAAAATTACATCGATTTGGCACAGAGATTTTTGAAAAAAAAAACCTTTGACTGGGTATTTTTGCGGGTTTCGCATTATATCTTTTCCAAATTTCTTCTAGTATGACACTTTCCATGCTTGAGATGGCTAAAAATAAATTTATTTTGGCATGCAGATGCTCATAAGAAATTTTCTTGTTGTTTTCTATCCATGATTCTTTGGAGGGAAAGTAGTCCAAAGCTTCCTGTATCAAATATCAAATATTTAAGATTTTCCATCATCAGTAAAAACACTTATGCCTCAACGTGATTAAATTTTAAAAGCTGAATTCTTTGAATTCTAAACTCGTTTCATACTGTAATGAATGTAGAGAACAGCAATTTGGTATTTGGATACTGAAAAGTTTTCCCTATTCAGTGGATAACAATAAAGATTTTGATTCACCACTTTGAAAATCTCTTATCTAAAAACACCCCTTAATTCTCCCATGTTTGCGCACTATGAGAAGATTGGGCTTTCTCACTTCTTCCGGATTTTTTTCCTTGGAAGATAAGCTCTACTCAAACAGAATTTATATTTCAGTTCCCATTGAAATGCTTTTTAGTGGTACCAAACACTGAACAAAAATTTGTCTCCAGCATTTATAAGAGCCGCAAAAGCGACCGAACTTATTTATTAGCTAAGCTAATAGTAAGAGGCACTTATGTCTCAACTCTTTTGCTTCACTTTAGAAATTTCTTCAGCTCTCCCTGCATTCAAGGAGAGGAAAATGCTCTGCTCTTTCCATTACTTTGTTTTTCATTCAACTCCTTCCATCGGCTAACCAAAATTCGACCCCATATTTAGAATTCAAACACCGAAAATTTTATTCCACATTCACAACTTTCACTTTTTATCTGACGAACGATCTACTCTTCTTGACTTGTCGCTTTTTGAGTGAGTGATCTCCTATCTATGTCTATTCCTTGCCATAAGTACCTCATAAGTCCCGCCTTCAGCCATGCAACATTTTTCCCTTTGAAGTTGCTCCATCAGCGGAGCGCGAGCTCCGCTGACAGCTCATCACGAACTCATCCGACAACCCGGCGTGAACTCACACCTAAGGTGTTCGCAGAACTTCTCGATTCGTTCTCTGTTCCAGCCGTCATGTTGCCGGCGGGCGGCGGACCGGGCGGAACCAAGCTGTCCACAAGGGCAGGCGTTAGGTGGGTGTTAGGCCGATGGCATTGTTGTCAATTATCCGCTATGCTGAACGCAAATCTCGACGTTCCAGCGTTCTTTAGTGTTCATCCCAGTCATAAGCTCCCCCCCCCCCTCCCCGGAACTGGACACCGGTGGTGTGGGCGGTGATGTCGTCATCGCCGCTGCCACACCTGAACTCGCCCCTTTTCTCGCATTTGTCTCAAATTATCTGCAGACCATCCCGATTTTGTGTGAATGTGCGTGAGTATCGTTATCCGCGTGTACAAGAACGTCTCGAGTGTGATTGCGGAAAAGACTGACTGACGACACAATGAGCTCTGAAGGCTGAAAGTGAATGATAGACGGAACAAGTGTTGTGCATAGTGGCTGTGAAAGCGATTTGTATAAAACAATGGTTAGCGCATTGTGAAGCGTATGACGAGACTATTACACACAATTGCGTACTCACGCCTCGCGATTCGTAATCGCAACGATGTGCTAAGCAATCGTTGCGATCTGGTGCTATGTCATTAACAAAGATTTCTTCTATGGGAAATTCTAGTGTGAAACGCTTGAAGCTGTCGAGTGGGCAAAAAGGTACTTTGCGTCATTTTGCTTAAACAAGCCGAACGACTGGTTTTCAATCCACCTTGAGAGGGGAAGGGGCACTTTTGTCAACGTTTAGATAAAATTATAAAAATTGAATTTATAGGCCCTACATAGGAAAAAAACCGCTTTGGTTATTTCTTTCGCCTGTCATCATTAGGTTGCAGGCATCAGTGTTCGGTGCCAATGAACAAATGGCAACCCGTTTTCGCCCACTTTGAAAATAGAAAACTATTTTTTCTAACCTACCTCAAAAGGCTATTGACATAACATCGTGTTTCAGTCATTCTAGGTTCTTAAATACTCAGCTGATTCATTCATGTGGTTACAGACACTGGCAGATATTACAAGCTCTTTTTCCTGTATCGCAGGGAATTCAATAATCATCCTGGATACCACCACCTTTGATAGTTGTTTTTATTTCGGAGATTCTGAAAAAAGCGTAATCCGCGTTTGCAGCTGGCCCACCTCATTGCTCACATTTTTCATTGTGTAGATAATTTTACCTGTTTCCTCATAAAACGTCCTCTAGTCTCACTAAATCACAATCTCAAGATCTATTTCTACGAAATTTTTGGTTGATTTTGTCCCTCAATCTCCATTAGCAATTCTTGGATTGTTCAGATTATTCACATCCTGGGTCGCTGACGCTTAGCTCAACAAGTTCAAGAATTTTTGAGTACGATTTGTTTTTTAAAGGATGCTCACAGCACTCAGCCTCCTCTCACTATTCGGGGTAGGCTTTGCGAAGGAACCAATCGGACAAAATGTGATCGTTCTACTGATTGATGGTTATGGTGCAAGTCTGTTGAACAACTCCAAACAAGAAGCAAAATTTGGCAAGTTTCCAAAAATTTCGAAAAATTATGTATGGCACTTGAAGATTTTTGATTTTTGAGACTTGTGGATGAATCCATAATAGTTTTAGACATTTAAGTCATTATTTCCGCCGTTCCAATTATATCGCACACACCATCTCACAAATGAAATAACGAAGAAAACTTGAAATGCAACTTTTTCATAGCATCATAACCGTTGATAAAATCACACTGATGATGAACGATTTTTCTCAGAAAATCAACCTTAGTCGATGTGATTACAGGTATTCAACACCTGATTTCACATGGTGTACAAGCTGAATACCTCAAGTCTGCATTCCCGACACAAAGTTGGCCGAATTGGTTAAACTTAGTAACTGGTAAGTCGACAAACTTACATTCAATTTTTTCTCATTATCCTTTCGTCCGCTCTATATATTATTCCTCATCTAATTGATGGAACATTTCTCTAAATTCTTCAGTCTCTGATTATGTGCAAAACTTTGATACCTACATACCGAGCTCCGTTTTTGCAGGGCTAAACATGCTTTTTTCAACATTTTTTGCAAGTTCAGGGGTAGGCAAAGCAAGCTAGAAAACACTATAAGCTGACAAATAAAATGCAACACCCAATGAAAATGATAACTTTACTATTTTGAAAAATATAGAGATAATTTGTGTTCACTTTCAGCACACAGATTTGACTCATTTATTTGCAAAGGTGATTTGATCATGAAAGTTTTCCCAACTTAGCACGTCACCGTCACGAAACCTCCTGGCGAAATTCTCCTATCGCACGCCTTTTAGAAAAAGTAGCTGTCTATACCCTTCCCCCCCCCCCCCGAGAATGGGTGGCGAAATTTTTGAAATTTACTTGGTTATTTAAACGCGCAATTGACTTGTTTATTCTTCTAAACAATCAAAATAATTTTTAAATTCTTTCAAAAATTCGAATTAGCAAAAAATTTTTTCGGGACCCGCAAATATTTTTAGAAGCACCCAAAAAAATTTAACTTAGTGCGGGGCTAATGCCACGCACCTTCATTTGAAAAAAATCTCCCCCCCCCCCTCCGGGACGGAAATTTTGCGACCGCCACTACGGTCTATGTACAACATCATAAACATTTTTGTGCTCTTTACCTGCTCCTTTACTCGTTCATTCTACTCTTATCTATTTACTCAAGACATTTTCAATGCCATTGTGCTTGAAGTTGTCAATACCTGTTGTCTCTGAATGTTGTTAACAACTGGTTGACAGTGTTGTAATGCTATGACAATGCAATGTGGGTCATAACAATTTGTTGATATTCTGTTGTCTGGGGTGATCGCAATGCGAAGCGAAGCGAAGGGCTAGAAATTAAATATACTAAACGTAACCTGACATTTTGAGCATAACCATACATCATATTCATATGTTTGTATGTATATTCAGAAAATCAGGAATGGTAGCGGTACTGCCTTTACTCAATAGAAAAGTTTAAGATCGAAAAGTTTGAGATCCAAAAAGTCCTTGTCGTTTAGGGTACATATTGGGTCACAACAGTTCGTTCGCTTTTTTCAAACGGGCGCGAAATTTGGTGGAACAAAGATTTTTAAGAGATTTGGATGCATTCGATGCAGCTTTTCATCCTCTTTCTAACGTTTTGGAAAAAATATGCAGCACATTCAATAAGCTCTGGGAAAATCACCAAACTTTGCGACCCATGCTTTTTGAGATGGTCAAGTTTCACAATTTTTCCATACTTGTGTACCAACCCTCGGGAGGACGAGTAAGGTAGTGTCGAGTATTCATAGAGCAAACTCCAAAGGATGCAAAAAATTTTTCTCCTTTCCACAGTCTGTCATATTTTTTCAAAAGAATTTCAACTGAAGAAGCTACCACCTGATCAACTAAAACCTCGTAGAACATCAAACGGTGGGCAGCTCGGGCGCTGTTTGATGCACCTTTTTCTCTCCTCTTTCTAATACGTGTTTTTTGTTTCGGACTCATGTCTTCGGGACCAAAATCATCACAGTTTTTGAACGCCCACCAGGCTGTATCCGAAAAAATACGAAATATTTCGAATCCGTAAACCCTCTTTTGCTTTGTAAAATTATTGTTAAATCATATTAACATCTTGGATTTTGTTTTATGCGAATGTGGCTAGCTTAGGCCTGCCAAAATCCGGTGGTTTTGATAAAAAAAAATTTTGAAGAAACATGGCGAGCCATGGAAAGAGAAGATTGTACTGTATCTTATAAGGCTTCTTTTGAATAGCTACTTGGACTACTTCGGCGCATTCATATACAAGTCTCAAAAAGCATGGGTCGCAGATTTTGGTGATTTTCCGAGAGCCCATTGAATATGCTGCAACCATTTTATGATCTTTAAAAAGAAGTTGAAATGCTGCATCGAATGCTTTCAAGAACTCTTAGAAATCTTTTCCATCGAATGTGGCGCCCGTTTGAAGAAAACGAAAGAACTTTGGAAATGACCTAATGTATAATTCGTCTACTGTTGTAGAATTGCAGAAATTAAACTAAAACGAAACCTCAAATTAATTCGTATCCGAAAGTTGACTAAGCATAAAAACATTTTGGCTACCGTAAGGATTTGAGTGAGGACTGAAGTTCTTGAATTTACGAACTCCTGGAAGCAACCCTATGCAAAAATGTTGGAGAAATAAACTTGTGTGGACAAAGCCTCTGTTAGACAGTTTAAATTCCGTAAACAGTACAATCTAGAGTCAAAGCGGAAAACTAAAGTTAAGTTAGGAAACTACCTGTTTCATGATAAATTCAAAAAGCAAAGATTTGGGGTAACTGAGGTGTTGTTTCCGAGTGTAGCTTCTCTTGCTCAAACTTATTTTCTGTATGGTTTTTAAACTTGGTACACCTACGGTATTGTACAGTCTTCTCTTCAACTAACAATCATATACTTTCTCCATACCATGAAATTCTTTGCATTAGTGTTCAAGCGGATCCTGTGAGTAATGTTGTGTACCGGAAATGCCAAGATTAAGTCACCAATTTGCAGGCTATGCAGTAAAATTTTCTCTAACGATTTCCGAGAACAGCCCGTTGTATTGCATAACTCATATCATTTTTAGTACCGCAGTAATCGTTAAACTCAGATCGCTAAACTCAATGATCTTCAGAAAGTTAACCTCCATGAAAAATTTACAGAACATTTACGTCATCGTCGATAAACAATGTGTTGGAAGGATTTTGAGAATAATGTAACTAATTTTCTGTTTATACTTGTTGCTCTGCATATTTGTCTTACCAAAAAAATTTCAATTCAAGAACGTATGTGCTATTGATTGATTATATAATAATTCCAAAAGCTATTTGAATCTTTGTGATCAAATCTAAGAACTACGTAGTAGACATAGTAAGTGATGGATAGCAATGTGGGAATATTTACTGATGTTGCATAGCCTCTAGGATCGTAACACACGCAAACACAAATAGAAATAAATCATGCAGTAAATAAAATTACTGACCATACGCTCATTTGACAAGTACTGCTTAAAACTATTATATGCTGCAGTAATGCGAGGTTTTCGTCAGAATATCCGGGTGATATATAAATCATTTTAACAATCGTCGATGTGACTGATTGTTTTGCTGATCTTATGTTAGCTGTTCGGTAACTTTCTCTTCACCGATCTTCATTTATTTCAATAACTAACAGGGATTGTGCACTCGTAGAGTTGAAGCGATGCTCAAGCAAAGAGGTCCCACATTGCCACTCACATAACTATCGTCTATAAGCGATATACTATATTCTCGTAAATGTCCTTCTTGCATGTTTCCGAAGTTATAGGGAGAAAAGTGGATGGATCTATCACTTAGTATCCTTGCATCTGGCACACATATGGTGCAAATGAGTAAGAAAGAGAATACATATTAATGCATCATGCACCGAATTCTTTATGGTATTGTTCAATTGAAAATACAAAAATAATTTCCGCGTAAGCTAGGGCTGTACAATTTACGTCCTCCTAGTCATCAGCTATGACTATGTTGGTCAAATTAGGGTGTTCCATAATTTTTTACCGTTTTTTTCTCCTGCAATGACCTTCTTGTTTTTCAAACAGGTTTTGCAATACCAATCGGCAGAGCAAAGCAAGCTCTACAAGAAAGCACTCGAACAAATGCTCAAAGTTTGTTCTACTTAATGTTTGAAGCCGGAATCTAAGAAGAAATAAATGCCCGAATATTCGAGAAAAATCTCATCTTCGTTCAAAAACCTCCTTCAGACTTCACACTTGCTCAGACGTGTACTCTTTACATTTCATATTCATCTGTGAATTCGCTTATTTTTCCGGGCTAGAACTTAAGAAACATACATAACCACGATAGGCTGAATACCGAAAAGGTTCTTTGTATTAGGTTGTCAAGAAAATAATGTCCGTTTTTATTTGCTTGCTTTAACAAAGCAAAACTCAACCCAACAAAGGGTAAGGGGTACTGTTCGATAGAGCAAAGCAAGCTCTACAAGATGGCACTCATGTCTTTGCGCCATGCTCGATCCACGGAGAGTTCGAACTCAAAATCTAACGATTTCCAAATGCCCAAAAAATCGAAAAAAATCAGATCTTCGTCCAAATAATTTCTACGGACCTCCCACTCGCTCACATCAATACTATCGATATCTGATATTCAAATGTGCGATTGCCGTATTTTTTCCTTGACTAGAAACTGAGAAAACGAAAATTTCCCTGATTTTCTCAGAGCAATGCTGAGCCGTTTTTGCATATGTAATTCTATACTACGAGCATAGGTAAGCATAACTGTAGGTTTTCAGCCTATTTCGAGCGGTACTTTTCGAGAAATGTCGATTTTAGCACTGAAACTAAAACGAAAAAATCCGAATTCGTTATTTTTCGAAAACTACCGCTTGGAATGGGCTGAAAATCTACAGTTATACTTACCTAGGCTTGTAGTATAGAACTACATATGCAAAAACGGCTCAGCATTGCTTTGAGAAAATCAGGGAAATTTTCGTTTTCTCAGTTTCTAGTCAAGGAAAAAATACGGCAATCGCACATATGGATATCAGATATCGATAGTATTGATGTGAGCGAGTGGGAGGTCCGTAGAAATTATTTGGACGAAGATCTGATTTTTTTCGATTTTTTGGGCATTTGGAAATCGTTAGATTTTGAGTTCGAACTCTCCGTGGATCGAGCATGGCGCAAAGACATGAGTGCCATCTTGTAGAGCTTGCTTTGCTCTATCGAACAGTACCCTTACCCTTTGTTGGGTTGAGTTTTGCTTTGTTAAAGCAAGCAAATAAAAACGGACATTATTTTCTTGACAACCTAATACTTTTGATGTTTCTTTTCGCTAAATTTTATATTTCTCAGACTATTAATGTATAAAGTCAAAAATTCGTCGTTATATCCCCAGAGGATCATACTACAGAATTACCTACCTAAGAGCAGCTCAGTGCGGCTCTGGCGAAAACATGAAAAAATTGTTCTTCATGTCCAGCCACGGACTGCATGAGCAATTACGAAGTTCGTAGGAACTTCTTGAACGAAGATACCATTATTTCTCGACTTTCTCCCATTAAGATCTTCTTAGATCTCGGCTTCGAACTTCATGTAGAATAAACTTTGAGCGAATGTTTGCTTGCTTTTTGTGGAGCTTGCTCTGCTCTGTCGAATGGTACTCCGGAACCTATTTGAGAAGGAAGAATAACACGAGTTATTTGGGAGAAAGCACGGTAAAGAATTATGAGACACCCTGATAGAATCCAGCTTCAGCTGTAGGGCATCCATCTGCCCATAGACTTTGACTTCCTTCTAGAAGAATATCCTACGAAAATAAAATGATGCGGAAAAATTTAGGTACAAATGGTGACTGCTTAAATTCTTGAGAATATAGGTTACAATGTAATTTGCACCAGTGTTCTAACTCTATCCTACTAGAAATGTGTGCATAGTGTTGAGATGTAAAAATGCTTGACAGTTGAATATCACAACGTTGGAGTTTTCTGAGCGAGGAGTAAGAAAAGTATATGAGTCACAGTAGTAAAACACAGGCGAAACCAATTTTTCTTGCAAATCCGAAAAGTTCCAAAGAAAATTTTTATAAATGCATCCCAAATATTAGATTCACTTCGCCTTTCAAAATCTTTTGGCATCTATTCTCGAATTCATTCTGTGTGAAGTTGTTGCGTACGAACGCGGAAGCGAGCGCGGCGTGTGAACTAAAATTGGCCTCCAACGTCTAGCCTTCGTCCGAGACTAGACCTTTAGTAACATCATAGAAAATTCATTTTGATCAGATTATGCAGAGAATTATATAGAAGAACATGAATTAGCATGATTACTAATTTATTTCTTGTGGGGCGAAAGCTTGAAAATGTACTCAATACTGGATATTTAGGCCTCTACACCGAAAATCATGGAATGACTGCTGATTACATGTGGGACAGAGAGTCTAATCTCAGTTTCGAACGAGGAAAAGGTAAGAATAAGCTTTGAATACTCTTCGTCTGATCTCTTTCAATTTTTTATCTCCTTTCCGAGCAGGGCTTGGCACGAGGTGGATTTCCGATAATGCAAAGAACTAATTCCGCCTAGACCTTCGCAAAATTTTACGAAGTCCCTTTTGACCCTAAACCCTAAACTAAAACCTCGGAAAACGAGACGTTGATTAAAATGTAACCTAAGTTGTGTTTCGGCCGAAAATGTATCCCTTTGCTTTTTGTCCCAAAAACCATATACAGCTTGCTTACAAGCCATCTGTACCGAGCCCTGTTTCCTAGTTATACAAAAAGTCTGAAATGTTGATCGTTAGAACAAAGATGAAAGCTCGTGCTAGTTGAACATTTTACGATTCAATGAAAAGTGGGCAATTTTGATGTCAGCTCCATATTTTTTACTGAAAGCACTTCTTACCAACGTCCGTGCATTACGCTCCACTAATCCCCTTATCGACTCAATCATTCTCGCTATTAGTTTTCTACCTTAAACACATGTGTGAACTTTCAGACAGGGGTGTGGCAGATGAAATTTTACAACGTCGTTGATCAACTGTTAATTGAGGCATGTAACGCGCTTTCGCGCTTGCGAATTGGGAGCCTTGAAGTTTCAGAACATTTCTGATTTGTGGGAGTTGTGCTGATAAAGCAGGCTTCATGGACCCACACTCAACTAAAATATCTACTGTATAGAAGTTTTAAGAATTTTCAGAGTTTGAAAGCCTAGCAGCTCCTAGTCTGCAATAGTCGTAATGTTGTTATTGAATATGCCAAGATTCGGATGAGAGATGAATTTCATGCTTTGAAATTTGTGGCATACTTTCGTGACGAAAGATCAAAGGCCATTTATTTTTACTGGTAAATCTATTTTCTATTGGTGTTTATTATAGCTTCTGAAAAAGCAAACAAAAGTTTGCATAGGGGGGGGGGGCGTTAAAGCAAAAACTTGAATTGAGTAAGCTGCTTGGGTTCTACAAGCTGATTTTTGTCAGGAAAATTAGTTAGCGTTCATGCTTCCCAATGCACTGAATTATTGACCTACCACAATTTATCAAGTGGGGACATAAAAACTCAGGAAGTGCCAGCCCAGGAAAACTGCAAAAAACTCAAAAGCTACCGATACAGCACCTCATCAAGATTTTTCTGGACTGGCGTGATCAAATATCGTCCTAACTTGTTCTATGATGGACTTTGCAAAAGAACGAGGATTTGTAATTATTTATTAGGTTGTGTTATAAGTTCTGTCCCATTTTTTGTTTTAGTTTTTTCTTGCCAACATTGACTATATTTGAGATAAAGTGTATATGCTTTTGAAAGCTCTAAGTCTGCTCTACAGGCTCATATGCGTCATTCCCTAACATAGCAGGAAATTGAGAAAGATATTTATCATTGAAATAAAAAATCCAAAGAGCCGAAAAATCAATTTTCGACATCTTTTTTCCTTCAAATTCTTCTCGATTTTCATTGGTAAAACTTATGAAACAACTTTGACAACAACCAGAACAATCTATTAGACTTTTACACTTATTCTATCATTGTTTGCCCTGTTCCCTTCCTTCCACCGGCTATTCAATGACATTTTTTCAGAAGTCGTCAAAGCAAGACTTTGTCACGGCGATGTTCGCCGTCTCGCGTACTCAAACTGTGTGGCCTCCCAAAATTCAAATTTTCAGTATTTAACCTACGAATTCGATATTTTTGAAGCCACTCACCATCCCTTCTGACTTTTCTGGATGATCCGCCTACCGTCTTCCCTCAGGACGCCTTCAGATGACGTCCAACACCAACGTTGAAAAAGCATCAGAAAGAAGAATTTTCTAAAGTCTACAGAAATGATTTTTGAAAAGTTTCAGCACTCCTGAAGCGCAATAGAAGTTAGAGCATTCTTTGCTTACGCGTAACAAATTCTTCGAGCTTATTCGTAGGCATTCTGACTAATTAGGAAGGCGACGTAACGTAGCTGTCGAAAATGGACTTTTTTCCTGTTTGATTTTCCAAATTTGACGCTGTAAAATTTTTCAAAGTTTATCTGATGTAGAAAACCGAAATGAAAATTTTGATAGAGAAGGCTTAGAGCTTTCGAATGCATATAAACAATTTACAGAATATCGCGCAAAATATTGAGAAAAAATTGAAAGAAAAAATGGGACAGAATTTATTACACAACCTAATACAACAAATTGCTCTTACAATTTGAGGGGGAGATTGGGAATTTTAAATCTGTGGTATGGAGAGGGAATCTGCTTTGTTCGGTAAAATTGTTATACTTTCAAAAATAAGAATGACATTATTAAGGTGCGAACGATACAGAGGATATCTGGTGGGAGAAGCTTCCGGCCCCGTTGTGGTATACAGCCGGAAAAAATGGCGTCGACGTACACTGCTACTGGTTTGCACATTGTCATGTAAGTAAAATTGGTTTCATTCTTTCTGAAAAAACTACAAATTTGGTTGCGATTTTTGTGATGTTTCATCTGCGGCTGCACGCACTTCGCGTACAAATACAACTCTACTTCGTGTTTTCTTGTGAAACATGCGCCTATTACAACGATTCGTTATTTGATATGTGAACAAGGACGTATGCCGTATAACATCTATGTATACCTATCAAATAACAAGATAGAAAATGAACTTTTTGTCCTGATCCAAAATCTGCACTAAGACTTTACAATAAAAGTGATTCTTTATTCAGCGAACCCATCACGACATGGTTGTGAAAGTGCCACCCAAACGATGGACTGACCTGAGTATACCTGACCAGACGGATAAATTATCCGATGTCTTTCCAGAGATTGTCAATAGGATTCTAAAATACCAAGCATACAAGCAGCAGGTGGGCATTGTGACATCAAACTCATGTGGAATCAAAAAATTAGTTTTCGGAAGAGTCCCTAACAGTGGAATTCAAAAATCGGTAGTTTTGACAAATGATGTATAGCGCTGGGGTACCAAATGAACTAGTAGGCTATACACATTCAATTCAATAGAAAAATGATTAGAATATAGTACAAATTAATCTTAAAGCCGTTTCTATATTTTATTGAAAATTAACGGGTAGGATCCAATGCTCAGTTTCCACCAGGCATATATAATTTGGAAAAGTTTCTTCCATGATAAATCGCCAAAACAGAAATTTTTGAAATACAGACGTGTTTTCGGATTTCTCCAGATCTTTACTTATTCAGATGTTCCTTTTACGCTATGCTGGCGTTGACAATGCCCTTAGGCAATTTGGAGCTGATTCTGATGAAGCCGCTCAAGCCGTAGCTAGGATTGACATGTACATCCATGAACTGCAGGTATGAAGATATTTGTCTAGCATGTATACTTACTTTGTGTGATTTATTGACCATCAGAAATCTTTAGCAAAAACTCGAGGAGCACGATTTGTTCACGTCAACAAATTTGCTGGTACTATCCGATCATGGATTAGCACAAATCGAAGAAGAAGAGCAGTTCTACCTTGAGGAATGCCTTTCTGACTATTCTAAGGTATGAACAGTGTCTATAATCCTTCTGAATTTCCCTCTAAAATCTTTCAGCTTACAAAATGTCTTATACTCATTACGTTGACAGCCTTTTTTACTTTCATTTTTTCAAGCATGTTCTTGTGGACGAGATATCTCAGTGCACTTTTACGCCCAGCTGTATATATTAGGTTGGTGCAAAAGTTCTGTCGTTTCATTTTTGAAAAATCATAACTTTGCGCTGTCACAACGGATTTACTTCCCTATATTTTTATTAGAAAGAGTAAATCTTTCTCTTTCGAATGCTGTTTTGCTGAGCTTGCTGAGCTTTTTCTGCAGCTTCACACTGGGTGCGGAGATAAAAATGGAAAACTAAGACCATATAAGCTTTTACCATTTTAAGTTAGGTCACCAAAAATCGGGAACGCTGCAGAAAAATCTGAAATAGTCAGTACATATGTTTTTTGGCCTACTCTTTGCATCTGTGAAAACTTTGTGCTGTTTGGACGTCTCTGTGGGAAGTTATGAATATGTTTACTATGAAAAACGCTAAAATTAATTAATTTGTCAATTTTCGCGAAAATCATAACTTCTCACAGAGACGTCCAAATAGCACAATCTCCTCAAAGTTGCAAAGAGTAGGTCAAGAAACTTATGCACTGACGATTTCAGATTTTTCTGCAGCGTTCCCGATTTTTGGTGACCTAACTTAAAATGGTAAAAGCTTATATGGTCTTAGTTTTCCATTTTTATCTCCGCACCCAGTGTGAAGCTGCAGAAAAAGCTCAGCAAGCTCAGCAAAACAGCATTCGAAAGCGGAAGATTTAATCTTTCTAATAAAAATATAAGGAAGTAAATCCGTTGCGACAGCGCAAGGTTATGATTTTTGAAAAATTGAATGACAGAACTTTTGCACCAAAATAATATTAGGTCGTACCGAAAGTTCTTGCGCGCGATTTTTAAAAATTCATAACTTGTTGATTTCCCAACGAATTTACAAGGTCTAAATTTCGTATAAGGGAGGAACTCATGCTCTTTGCAAATGTACTTGGACTGTACCTTAATGTATGCAAATGAAGGAGATAGAAGCTCAAAACCAAAATCACTCAAATTTGAATTTTTCGTGTAGGGTCATAGAAAATCGGAAACTTGCAACAACATGAAAAATTCAAATTTTAAGTGATTTTGGTTTTGAGCTTCTATCTCCTTCATTTGCATACATTAACAAACAGTCCAAGTACACTTGCAAAGAGCATGAGTTCCTCTCTTATACAAAAATTGGATCTTGTAAATTCGTTGAGAATTCAACAAGTTATGAATTTTTGAAAATCGTGCGCAAGAACTTTCGGTACGACCTAATATATGCATGCATCTATGCGTAAAACATGAATATACAAGTGGGCGGGGCTGCTCCGTTACTTTGTGGGAAGTCTCGCCTACTCCTCAAAAATGCTGGAAATTGTTCAAAATCTATGAATTCGTTCACATTTCGGCATTCCGAAAAGTGGTCGGACTTGCCACTAAGGGGGCGAAGCTCTGACGGGAGGCGGGTCAACACCAGAGCTGCTTGAGGCTCCGGACCATTTGAGACCTCTTCTTTGCGTTTTGAGCACAAAAAAGTCTCATACAGAAGGCAAATGCAGTGGGCGGAGTTTGCTAAAAGAGGGGCGGGGCCAACATGAAAACTTGTGACCCTAAATTGATTATATGGACACAATTTAGAGTGATTGAGCACATACCAATCAAAATTTAGGGTGTCAAGGTGTTAACTTTCATGGCACTGGTAGTGCTTGCAATTTCTATTATAGACCCTCTCACTGACCATTCCTGACTACGAAGTTACAATAAAATATGCAGCAATAAAGTCACAAGTAAATGCACTTATTCTAGGTTATAAAGGTTGTAAATCTACACTCGATGCTTATGGTCTTCACTGAACCAGAAGATGAAGGGCATGTAAGTCATTGTACATATCACAAATAAAGTTCCGCGGAAAAAGCTATTTGCCGAAGAATTTTCTCCTGCTTAAGAAGCTTGTACAAAGCTATAAATGAAGAACGAAAGTAAAGCACAGATTTCAGGTACATTTTGAGCTGCGAGTTTGCGACCAATGGGCTCCGATGGGTGACTATGAGGAGACGGACGTGCAACTTGTGCAAGCTTACAGGGTATGATGGTTTTACTGGAGTATTTATAATCATTTATCATTCCATGTTCCAGATATCAGAATTTCCTGAACGATTACATTGGGCCAAATCAAGTTTTGTGAGCGGTGTCATATTACTTACGAAGCCAGGAACAAGCATAATTACGGTAACTCATGCACCTACACTTGAATTATTCTCGTAAGGGAAGATTTATTTAAAAGATATATTTAGCGTGAGCTTCCCTCAATTCCTGCCGCCAGTGATCCTTTGAAAGAAGCTAAACAAACAAGTGGTTGGGATCCAGAAGCAGTACAGATGAGGGGTGTATTCATGGCTAGGGGGCCAGGTGAACTTTACTAGAATTTTGTATTTAGCTTACACAAATTAACGAAATTTTTCAGCGTTCAAAGTGGACGAGAAAATTGGACCAGTCGAGATAGTTGACATCTACCAGGTATATACTACTACTCTGCTTTTTTTCCCACAAGGAATGGAAATTTTTATTTCCAGGTGATCCTGAACATTCTTGGCCTTGACCCACCACATTATCACAATGGAACGTGGTCAAATGTAGTTGGAATGATGGCTGGTGATTGGGAATCACGAGCAAACAGCGACAGATTCAACGAAGCCACACGATTTGGCCTGGCTAGCCTTCCCCTGATCCTGTTGATGTTCAGGTTTCTGCTGTAAACCCGCTTAGAATTTTCAGTTCCTGCGATCCTGTGCCCATTGCTGTGGCACACGATAGCCCATGTTGTATAGGTTGCGAAATTAGAAATTGTTCTGTAATTCTGCTAATGTTTCGGTGCTTCGAATTTCTTTTCGACTTAGCTTGCGCGTAGCGCGGATGTTTGCCTTACATTCAAGCAATTTAGTTATGTATAGCCTAAGGCTATTTAGCCTCGGGTTTTGCCTCGTCATCAAGCTTTGAAAGAAGTTATGAAGTTATTTGCCTTTTTGTAGCTGACGAAAAACTTGAATTTGTTTGATTTTCGATTACCTATTGCTCTTCTCCACGAGAATCAAGCTTTAGCTGCTTTGTTGTTATCAGTATTCGAGCTACGTTCACCTCTGCCGGCTCAAAAGTCTCTTTTTTGCTCATGGATGTGCGATATAGGATAACGCAAAGAGCACTGAAGATTGGTCATAAAAACTAAAATGGACATCTACAAATTTTCGATTCTGGAAATTTCTGCTAATTTTTTTTCCGACATCTAAGGTTCAATGCTCTCTTCGTGACCCCTTGACTATCACATATTTGATGGTGTTTAGTAACAAAGCAGTATATTTTTTCGCCTTACGATCTCCACAGGAGAGTTGCACCGCTCGTGTTTTAGAAAGCGACGCACAGTCGCCCGATTCAAGTGGCATCACCGTCGCGTGACCATATCTTGCTTCAGAGTGGACGAGTTCTTGATCCAAGGGCACCATCCAATTCAACTCGGCGCGACGCATCTTTTTTATGTAGAAGTTCCCGCTTGTACATAGAAAACCAGATTCCACGAATCGTTTCAATGTTTGCTTACGGTAGATCGCTCAGTGAGTGCAATGATTAAGCACACAGAGTAATCTACAGTAAGCAAAAATTTGAAACGATTATGGAATCTGGCCCCCTACTGTATCCAAGCGGAAACATGTATGTATTAAAGATGCGCGCGCCGAGCTGAGTCGAATGGTGCCCTTGGATTGAGAATTCGTCCACACTGAAGCGACATATGGCCACGCGCCGGTGATGTAACTTGAATCGGGCGAACGTGCGTCGTTCTCTTAAAAAATAAGGGCGGTATTGTAGATCAATTTTCTTCGGATAACGATCCAGGATTTCAAAAGAAGCTTCTTTCTACCAGAAACACCATCATAGCACATCACGATGCGTCTACTTGTATCATATACTTAAAAGAGAAAGAGATCCATTAATGCCTGTGCCTGATACTTATATACAGTCGCTTCATTTCATATGATCATGTGTGCCATTGCACACACAGTCCACTTTGGCGTCCTCATCCTGGATTTGCAATCGCAAAAACGCAAGAGACCACCGATTGTTATCGATTACATCAATTTGAGGTGACTAGTAATTGAAAAGGAAAGAAAATGCTAAGAACACCCTGAAAACACTTACCTAAAGGCTTGTTTCTCCCACGAATCCAGGATGGGGACGCCAAAGGTGAACTGTGCGTGCAATGACACACATGATCATATGAAATGAAGCGACTGTATTCAACTTCATTCTCTCACGGCATCGTCTCGTCATCATGCCTTTTATTCCAGCTCCATTTTCATTTTCTCCTCCCCGTTCTGATATGATGCTGGATGAATCCCGGTACCTGTATTTTCTTGCCTCAAACCACACTTTTCTTCCGTGCATGTATAATCTTGTCTTTCGTGATAATCAAATTGCAGTTAGTCCATACAAGCTTTCATTGTTCGACATTTAAAATTGTCATACACTTTTATTTTTCATATAAAAATGATATAAGCTTAGGTGATTGCAAGTCATTTATTTACACACAGTTCTATGCAGGGATCATTTACCTCAAAGGATGTTTTACAATACCTTTAGACACCAACGAAGGCCAAGCCACGGCATTAAAATATGTGAAGTCCAACGTTGGTGCAGTAAATGAAGTTCCACTTAATTCCGTGGATGTTCGTCCTCGTGTGAAGCCGCGTAACTGCCTTTCGTTCCTTGGCAGCCTACAATGATCTCCCCGTGAATTTAGAATGGTTATAATATGAATCAATAAATATGTTTATGTATAATAGAATTGACGGTTGACACTATTCTCCTGCGGTAACGGCAACATTTGCGCGTAAACAGATTCCATGCCAGTGGTCAGAGGCAGCGTCCGGGCAGATACGAAAATGTAGAGTACAGGGGCGCCCGTCCTGGTGAGGCTCTTGCCCAACTGGCAATGCACCGATTTGCTTCTGAAGCGAGATATCCGCTTCAGAAGTGGCGACCGGAACGCCCCAGCTACCGGGACGAGTTAGTTCGATAAGACAGAGTGGGCATACCGCACACAGTCAAGGCGTAGGGTCCCACAAAGACTTTGCGTCTTAACCTTGGCGGCAATCGACAAAATTCAAATCAAGAGCTTCTGGAAAAGCCCATTTTGGGCGTTTTCGTGCCCTCCAAATTGCATTTTCAGAATCAGCAATAGGAATAAGCCCAGGTAAGCAAAAAAAATTTCGTTCGAAATTTTGCCCCGACGCTGCCTTTAACAATATCTCTGTTGCGAGCGCGTAAAAAATGACCATAAAGCGCACAGTGCCATTGTTTACGCGCATATGTTGTCAGCAGAGGGAATACGATAATGGTCGTCAAGTTCACTAGGCTATAGGTAACAATGAAGATTATGATAGGAACGGACACTCTGCCATTCCGTATTTAATGATTTGCTAATTTTCCGAAGTATATGTAGAATTTGCCTTTTTCAATATGAAAAATGAAAGGAGACCAACCTCAATGATTTTTTGTGTCACATCAGAAGTACCATTTCGAACGAACATTTTACATTGCGAATACTTCATGTCCTCGGCCAGCGTTGAAATTAGCTGTCTAAAACGAAAAAGATTCATATTGCTGGATAGAATGCAATATTCACTACAAATACTGTGTTCTTGCAAGTATCTTTTGGTGGAGCCATAAGGCCACAAAAATTTTTCGGTTCGCATTTTGTGCCATTCAGTTAAGTTGTAGGTTTAGTCCCGAACGAGGGCGCATGGTCAACCGTAGCGAAGCGGGCACGAAAGCGAGCGCGGTGAGCGCGCATCTATCATCGGTGGAGCGCGTGGCGGCAACTCCGCAAGTTCTGCGCGAATCGCACCTGCGTACGCTTGCCTTAAGTGGACACCTGACTTCGTCCAAAACTGGACTTCCTAAAGGTCTATGTGGTGCATTTGCACACTAGAGAAGGACAAAGGGTCGAATTGGCGCTCAGCGAGGAGAGGCGCATCATTAGGGTTCTTTCGGGACACTTTTATAATACTGTTTTCCAAATCTGCGAGATTTTATAAAAGAAGTTACGGATCCCTGGATTTACAGATGCCTTGTTTACATTCGAACCAAATACAAACGCAGATAGGCCAGATGGGAGAGCAGTTGACTTCCAGCCATAAGGTACAGGATCCAAATCCCATGGGTACCCATCGCCTTTGTGTTTTTTGTAAATCTTCGTATTTTCTCTGAAAATCATTCCGAATAGCGAAAATCAGTCGTTTTTCTTTTCTATGATTGCGTTTCTTTACACATTTCTGCAGGTGATAATGCATAATTACTCTTATTTGCCCGTAGACAGTCCAAAAGCTGGAGGCTTGTAATTTCTTTCACAGAGCCGTTTCGCAGACTTGGAAAGCAGATATGTAAGTACTCCGAAAGTTTAGCAGGAGATACTGATGTATCCCCTTGCTAAACTTCAGTGCAATTGAGTATGCTTTACTCGTCAGCTAGCAAGGCATACCATTGTAAAGACTGAATTTTCTGCCAATGACAAAGTGATTTCGACTCAGGCGACAAAGTCCGCAAAAGTTTTGCTTCTTCCTCTATTTTTAAGGCATATGCGTAACTATGAGGCGCACTAAGCAAGACTCAGATTACCGCTTACTTGAAAACTTCCTCGTTTTCCGCATAGCAGAGAAGAACACGGTTCTTACAAGAAAGAGCATAACCACACGGTTGCCCATCTCGAAGCGCTACATTGCCATTAATCTATAAGTTTTGTTAGTGATTTTATGAGGCTTGCAAGCAAATGATGTCTTACTCCAGGTGTTCGGAGCAGAGCAGTGACGTGCTCTGTGCGGTCGTAGATAGAAATTTCTCCATCATAATCGAGCACGGGAAGTAGATTTTCCTTATCAATCTTCTCTATAGTAACTGTGCTCTCGGCTTGTTTCAGGTTGGTCAGATAGGACCTAAAACGCAGAAACTGGCTGTAGTTTTTTGATCTCTGTGCAAGAGTCACCTGTCAATCAGGACTTCTTCAAGGCGGAATTTGTCTGAAACGACAAATCCTGTGATGTCACGCCATTGTGCAACAAATTCTTCACTATTCTTTCTGAAAGCAATGTTCAAAAATTCAAGGAATCATGCGGAGATGAGGCATGTACGGTAGTCCTCATTCTGAGATTCACCCTCTATAATTGCATTACTTTTTGAATTTGCAGTAGTAAGTGCAAATACAAGGAGTGTGATACGGTTTTTTCCTATTTTGTGCAATTGTCCTTACGATGTTTTTCATGATTTTATGAGGTTTTCCCAAAATGACGGTGACTCTACCGCTGCGGTTCTACTGCAGATTGCGAAAGTGGTGCAATTACACAAAGCGACTGTTGGAACAAAGACGACTATAAACCACGCAGAACCCTGCCTCTATAAGAAGTTAGGGGTGTATTTTGTTGGATACTTGAATGATTGAAAATGAGCTCCTAGCTCTGAGTACATTCCTGAGTTACTTACTGTTTTCCCTCGAACAAGTCAATGGTCAAATTTTTGTTCAAATCCAGATTGAATTTGCCAACACTGGATTCAACAAGTGCGTCGACAAGGTGAAGGAGTGTTGGCCTGAATAGCGCTTTTTTGAAAAAATGCAGTAAATCCCACAAAATTTCTAGACAGTATCGGGCATTCACCTTCCATTGTGATCGGCGAACACAGTTTCGAATATTGTCGGCGCAGTGCGATCAACAATATGTGGAACAGAGCGAATAATCTAAAAGATAGATCTATACTCTGACAAAGCTGGTCCGTCCGAAAGATCCTCTAAAATTACACGATAAACGCGCGACTCCTTTTTCTCGCTGGGCACTTCCTCGATCCAGATCGTACAATTGCGATAATCATCGGCTACTTCTCCGAGAACACAGTAGGCCTAAACTAACGAAGATTCTAGTCAGGACGCACTCCATAACATTCTCCTCTTCAAAAAACGATTTTTGAACTGTGTGAGCCCCAGAAACCTCCCAGAATGGTACATCTTTACGCTACAATAGTATCCTTGAGCGGCTTGAGAAAGTCAAACAAACTTTTTTTTTTCACCCCAAAACAGCGCGATAATCACCTGTTTTGCTGAATACATCGATACAGCCCCACATGCTACAGCTCGATCGTTCTGGTCCACGATCGTAACGATCACAGCCGTTGACTCGCGTATAAACGCGGCGTTGTTGTTCAGAGGTAGTAATCCACCACCAAGGACATAGTTGGCCAGGCTTTTCTCGGCTAGCGAAGCAAGCGATGGAGCGGCAAGCATCTGTAAAAATTCGGGATGGAAATGTTTCCGCTAAATTTGGATTGGAACACCCGCGAAACAGAGTCTTTGCAGGGATAATGCACAGAAGAAACTGAAAGAGATAAATGTATGCTACAGACACGCAAAAATCAAATAATGTTCCATCTATAATATTCCTATTTCTCAACGCCAATATTGCTAGAGGAACACTAAAAATCAAATAATATTCTGTCTGTATTGTTCTATTTTTTGACAGGAATATTGTCGAAGGAACACGCTTGGAGTAACGTGAAGATTCTTAAAGTGGATGATCATATTTGATTCAGTACAAGATCTTAGCGTACAGGTGAAATGAAATTATGTGAAAATATATCTACAATGCTAGGATTAGGTAAATGAACACGGATAGAATGAACTTTAGTATTTCAATAATTACAAATCTATTATGCATTCGTGACTTCTACATATAGGCTAAAAAAGTTGCTTTTTCCAGTAAAATTTTTCATCACTTTCCAAAGCGTTTTACTAGTTACCAAGAGTCTTCTCTTCTTGAAAGAAGGACTCTAGATGGCAGTGAGTTCAAGGAGGCAGACTATAGAAGAAATTATTCAGGGTGACCGTGACTACAGATTTTCAAGTTTTTGGCTCTTATCCTCAGTTCTGGTGGTACAAGATCGAGGAACAGCTTTCTAACCCTTCGAATCTTACACATATTTGCAAGAGCATTACTACGCTATAAAATATGAAATCTGGACCACGGATAAAACTTGTACAGATGCTAATGTAGGCTAAAGCGATGAAAAGCAGTACGGGTCACACCAAATGCCAGAATGGTATTCGCCATGCACGGTTGACGACGAGGCTAATGGTCGACGAGCCGACGATTTACGTGCGGCTTATGGGCCCTGTTCAAAACGAGCTGGTCGCGTTGGATTTTTGTGACTCAAGATCAGGCAAATGGTACGAGGAACAAGGTTGTTTAGGATTTAATGTAGGTTATAGGGCCAGATCTGAAGGATTATTTTAAAAGGCTGCCAATGCCCCCTTTACAACTCAAACTTTGTCGATATTCTGATTAGATCCAACGACCATGATCGAAAGTAAAAGCCCAAGTGGAGTATCAAATCAAATTGATTTATCCTAGCTAAATGGACCATTATTTGTAGAATCTTTGTTTGGAAACAAATTTTGTTGCTACTTGGTTCTGATTCCTAAAAAGGGAGCAAAATGTTTTCAAACAAAACCAAATTGCAATTTTCTTACCAAAGCAAATGTAGTAAAAATAAGCAGAAAGAGCTCTATGAAAACTAAACTTGTAACTTCTGAACTTCCATATTCAACACCAGCCACCTTACTGAGAATGTCAGAATTCCTTGCTCGAGTCGATGAATAAGTACTCAAAAATAGATGAGATCTCACTTCGTAAAAAATTCCAAATTAAGGTCATTGTTCAAGCAAAATAAAGATGATGATGATGATAGTTTGACGTAAATGTGGATAATTTTTTTTACTAAAATTGGCTGAGGAATCCATCTCTTTCAAGCTTTCCCCAATCTAGTATTTCAGTCAGTTCACATTCGCCATTTTTAAAAAAAAGGTAAAAATCTAAAGTTTGTTGCATAGGATTCGAAGTAAACTCAAAAGGAGATTTTAGTTGCATGGTCGGAAATGCAAATCTTTTTCGGATATAGCAATTCTAGCACACGAATACTCCAATTAGTCTATGATCATATCACATGAATTCAAGACGTACTCGTAGAGAAGTGAATTAAGGGGAGGGGGGAGGGTGAAATAGGGGGGGGTGGAATGCTGTCCATCCACGGCAACACTGTAAGGAATGAATATGCAGAAGTGGGACAACATAAGACCCGACCAAACGATAAGCATCGGCCCAAATACTCGCTTGAAACCTTGTCGCCACGTTAAAAGTTTATTATTTGTCCAAAATCGTTTCTAAAAGTGCGGAAAAAGAATTAGCAATGAGGGTGAAGTAAAAATTTGGACTATGACAAGACAATGAAGCATGGTGGCAGAAGCCTAATATCGCGAATTCATCTAAAAACATCGAAGAAAAGAATAGAAAGTGTGGAAAAATGGAGAAAACAGAAACTGGAAAATTTGTTGTTTGACACTGAGGCACATTTCCATTGTCCCCGGAAATAGTTTTGGCATCAGAAATCAATGAGATCAAATGATGGGTAAGCATCCGCTGCCTGGGAAGATGGGAAATGTTCATAAAGTAGGGATTATAGCCGGTAAAATATAGGGTGGATATTTTACAGGGTCTCTTTGTCAAAATCCCCAATTCGCGATTTTCCTTGCTACAGAGAAGAAATGAAAGTAATTCGGAGACAACGCTTATATTACGTGATCTAAACAACCATGACACTATCCATATACGCAACTTCTCAACATTCTTATATACTAAGGTCCTGTTTCCAAAATTCTCTCTTAAAGGTTATTGCGATTGCTCAGTAGGCCTCATATCTCGTGACCAGAAGTGGAATAACCCAAATTTTAGGAAATTCTCTGCGTTGCTACAGAATCTAGTCAGCAACCATATCACAGGTGGGTCTTCATCGTTACATAATTCGGTAGCAAAAGTCGTCTAAGAGCTGTAAAACCACATACTTTTACTGAAAGTCAGCGATTTCAATTTACCACACCTATGCCTTATGCCTTACCACTCATAAAATTTTTCGAGCTTTATACTCAAAAAACGTCACCCAATTCCATTGCTCTTTACCTCTACTAGGAGCAGATAAATATTCAGAAGTTGATTCTGAATGTAGGCCTTGGACCGGTTTGCTACTCCAAGTAATTACCAGCTCAGTAGTCCGTATGTCCAGATATTCCAGAAAACTTCTCTCGTTGCAGGAAAGTGGAGTAATTGCAAGCACTTTGTGAGGTAAAAACCACTACAAAGAAGCTATAGTACAACAGTTTTACAGCAGTCTCTTTGAACATGTTGGGTTTGTGATGTGAGTAGTTTAGTACGGACTTGAGCTAAACCTCTATGTTTTTTCTTGCTATAAAGCTGTTGTAGAATTTCTGTGAATAACTTGTTGCTTATGATGCAGCGCAAGCCCAAGAGCAATTCGTTGCCAGAATGGGAGAGGTAAGAAGTATTCAAAGACAGAGTATGCTGATGTACTCACTTTTCATCCCATTTTCGCGGTATCAAAACCTCATTTTATCTTTTACAGTATGAAAATTGTTGTGAGCATCGGTAAGTTTTGCAAAAGGTTTTAAGGGCTACTAGATGGAACCAGCAAGAAAAAGCGAGAAGCTAAAACTCTTCCACTAGGACAACCTTCCATGAAATCAATTTTGGGTAGTCCCTCGTAATTCCTAAAAAAATTTATGCACACCATTTGAAGGCTTTGAAAAAGTAAAAGATTTACTACTTATATACTGCTGCGGTAATATTGTGGCAAAAATGTCCACAAAGATTAACAGCGTTGATCGTGAGTAGCATACGCATAATGCTGTCCACATGGATTTTCTGCTCCAGTTGCGACGGAATGTTCAGGAGTAGGCCAAACTATTCGTTACATTGATAATCCAATTCCTATGCTCTGCTAGTTATTCTGAACTCGTTGACTTGTCATCAATATATTTAGCCTCCGATGATCTATTTACCATAAAAAAATTTTGACACTATGACTGATAAGCTGTTCTTTCTAGTAGCTGTCGCAATGATCATTCAAAACTTCGTTCACCATTTATCGCAAGCCAAAGTGAAAGTGACTTTGAAAGAAAGTTGGGTGACGATTATGTGAATTAGTATCTTAAAAGGGATAACACTTGTCGCGTGCATAATTTTACAGAATAAATCAACTCTTTGCTCAACTTCATTGTCTTCATGCTCATACGATAAAATCAGAGTACACCCTAACTTGATAATACCCTTTCTTGACTCTATCAAAAGTTACATTAGCTCTTGACTTAAAAACATATATTTGTAGACTTTGCAGCAAGGACTGTTGAACCAAATTTCCTATCAGAATTCTGATTGTATTTCTCACTAGAAGAAAGACTGCTCAAAATTTTCTTACCTCTGACAAAGCTATGTAATTTGGTATTGCTTTTTTAAAGGTAACTAAGGTCTAAGTAGCAGTATGGCTAGTAATAAAAGAAACATGTCAATGAGTAAGATGCAATTAAGAAAACGTCAGATGAGTCTAAAGAGAGTACGCATACAACGTTGACTAAACTTCCAAACTGGACCGCTCCTCTGTTCGTCTGATTCAACTTCATTTGCAAGAGAACACATATGAAAAGGAAAAGCGGTTTTTCTTAGTAGAAAAAGCGCTTTCTCTTTTCAACTGTTTGTCGAAGGCCAAACGTTCCCGTTTTGCTAGGAACTCTCCAAGGTCATTCCTTGTTTGTGCCTGGTAGAAGAACAAATTCGATGGAGCTTGTAGAAGCTTAAAGTGTTTTTTACGGTTTTAAAATGTTCAATCGAGGGGTGGTCAACTACAGCAAACCAATAAAAAACGAATAAAGAACAAATAAGCCTTTTCTATTGGCACTAGAATGCTCCCAGACGGAAAAAATAGAATGCTAAGGTTCAGAAAAGAGATGGAACGATGGGATTTTTAGAAGAAATCATATGATACCAATTTAGTATCTGTCATTATTACTCGGAAAACGTGAATAAATCCTGCGAAGGCTATCAATGAGATTTATTTCGAGAGTTTTTCTTTTGAAGACATCAGACAAGAGTACCCAATAACTCTCACTACTTCGTCACAAAACAGCATCTAAGAACAAATAATAAATAATAGGTAGAAGGTATGTATGTCTGTACGGCAACCACAAGAATGCGTTTTTACCATCTTAGAATCACCGCCATCGCGAAATTGACAGACAAAAGCGGTTCTGCCAAGTCTAACAAAACGTCCGCTACTGGTTTTGATGAATGCACACATGAATGCTGGCCATTAAACGAGCAAAAAGTGCAATGAGAAGCCAAACAACTGTATTTTGTTTGGCGGATGCGCAGAGCGTTGATGATA